TTATTAGTTAACCTTAACTTTTATGGATAATTCTTTGAATTACAGGCTGGATTTGTATGGGACTGTATGGGATCAAAGAAAGCAATCTAAGTAATACACAGTTTAAGGATGAAGAGTAGGAATCTTAATTATACTGAGTTTTCTCCAGAGTTCAATTATGTTCTAACACATCAGAGGCAGGGAGGGAGTCTATAGATCTGTTGAGCTAAATTGGGCTAAATAGGAACATGAGAAATATTCATCAAATACCTAAAACACAAATACTCTTTTATGATATGCTACACAATCTTACCATTATGCATCAAGAATGGTATAGTTCATACAATATAGAATTGACTACACTAAAGAAGATCATTCCGTTTAGGAGATCTTTTTCAAATGAAAATTAAAACTATTATACTATCATAAAACATATTTTATTAATTCAACCGACGGCCGACATCAGTGAGTTCAATTTACTACTTGAACCTTTATAATGATTTTGCTAAAGCAAACTTCGTGGGAAGAATCATGAAGACTAAACCCTAAAAAAAAAAATTGGTGAAAGTTTTAAGGAAAGTAGTGCTGGAATCAAGGGGCATCTATTTTTTTGGGGACAATCTAGTTAACAGGGCTTATAGATCAATCACAACAATCATTACAAGACTCTTTCCACCTGTCTGTAGAACGTACCTCAGCAGTGGGATGTCTGTGCAATTTGGATTATGGAGGTTTAATCAGTAATTTGCTAGAACTTACTAGTTCTACTGTGGTTTCATGGCTAGCAAACCCTACTGAGAGGGCCAGGTATGTTTCAAATCATCCCTCTGCTTTGATGCTCATTAGAATGGCATATACCAGGGGCCTTCAAACTTGGCCCTTTTATGACTTGTGGACTTCAACTCCCAGAATTCCTCAGCCAGACATGCTGGCTGAGGAATTCTGGAAGTTGAAGTCCACAAGTCATAAAAGGGCCAAGTTTGACGACCCCTGGCATATACAGTCCACCTTGCTACTCTTAAACTCTCAGAGCGGTATGTGAACTGCCTCAAGGTGGTCACTAGCAAGGGTTAAGGGTGAGAAACTTTGTTCAGTTCTGCAGCCTACAGGAATTCCTCAACTTACAACCACAATGGAACCTGTTATAAGTCATGACAGTCATAAAGCGGGTTAAGTCAAGGACTACCTGTCTATTGGGAATAAAGAATGCTACACTGAACTCTTTGGGAGACATTACCACTTTGGAAACAATTGATTATTTAAAGAGCTCAGAAATGTTGTCTTCTCCATACATTTTTGCCAGACCTTCTGATTGTATTTTGTATAAATGGCTTTGTAAGATTGATTACATACATGGTTGTAGACTCTATAACCTCTATATCAGGGGTCTTCAAACTTGGCCCTTTTATGACTGTGGACTTCAACTCCCAGAATTCCTCAACCAGCGTGCCTGGCTGAGGAATTCTGGGAGTTGAAGTCCACAAGTCATAAAAGGGCCAGGTTTGAAGACCTTTACTCTATATAATAATCAATGTGGCTAGAAAAGTATTAATCAATTGTATTATAGGAGAAAGGATGTCTAACATTTGAATATAGGGGAAAAAGAAAAGCTTCTCAAAAATTAATATGGATTTTGTGTTTGGCTGAGCACATACTCGGAGGCACCCTGTTCTTAATGTCCACATTTTCTACTGCTACTATTTTGCCACTAGTTCTCTCCTCAGATAGATATTTATAAATGCTTATTAATGTATTTAATTTAAAATTATGTTTAATTAACTTAAAATATTTATTTTCCTATAATATGGTATTTTAATATTCTTTTAATTCTCTGTCTAAACTTTACTTTCCCTCAAATTATTGCCAGTCATTACACTGTATTTATATTTTCTGGATTTAGCAAAAATGAGTGTTTTTTAAAAAAATAACTCAAATATATAGCTAATTCTTTCTCATATAAACTGCTATTGAAATGAGATCTTAAAATGTGCCCTTACAGTTAGTCCTCGACTTACGACCGTAATTGAACTCAAAATTTTGTTGCTAAGTGAGACATTTGTTAAGTGAATTTTGCCCCATTTTACGACCTTTCTTGCCACAGTTGTTAAGTGAACCACTGCAGTTGATAAGTTAGTAATTTAATTGTTAAACAAATCTGGCTTCCCCACTGACTTTGCTTGTCAGAAGACTGTAAAAGGTGATCATGTGACCCTGGGGACACAGCAACTGTCATAAGTATGAACCAGTTGCCAAGCCTCTGAATTCTGATCACATGATCATTGAGATGCTGCAGAGGTCGTTAATTGTGAAAAATGGACACAAGTAACATTTTTCAGTTCCGTTGTAACTTTGAATGATCACTAAACAAACTGTTGTTAGTTGAGGACTACCTATATTAGATTTAATTTCAACTGGATGCAATTTTTCCATCTCCAAATTTGCTAGACCAGAGGTCCCCAACGTTTTGGGCACCAGGGACTGGTTATGTGGAAAGAGGTTTTTCTGTGGACCGGAGTGGGTTTGGTTTTGTGTGCTGTCTACATCCCACGGATGGGGCTTTGCTTGTTTGTTGCGGCCCGGTTGCTGGCATGCCTCAGCCCAGTACTGGTCCACGGAACAGGGGTTGGGGACCCTGTGCTAGACACTAGTGATTATCCTGCTTCAATTACACATGCCTTGTGTTCAGTTTGACTTCCTCCTTCCCTTCCTCCTTTTGTGTTTTGCTGTGCTTTGAGCCTTTGTTGGCTTGCTGTAATGGCAAGTAAAGTAATGCATTGTTGCAAAAGAATATGAATAATCTCAACATTTATGTAAAGCATCTAGACCTGAGCCAAAACATTTCAATAGGTCTCCTTATAGATGATGATGATGATGATGATAATAATAATAATAGTAGTAGTAGTAGTAGTAAAATTGGAAGGGACCTTGGAGGTCATCTAGTCCACCCCCTGCTCAGGTAGGAAACCCTATACCATTTTGGACAAATGGCTGTCCAGTTTCTTCTTAAAAACTTCCAGTGTTGGAGCATTTACCGTTTCTGGAGGCAGGTTGTTCCACTGGTTAATTGTTCTGTCAGGAAGTTTCTCCTTAGTTCTAGGTTGCTTCTCTCTTTGGTTAGTTTCCACCCGTTGCTTCTTGTCCTGCCTTTAGGTGCTTTGGAAAATAGCTTGACTCCCTCTTCTTTGTGGCAACCCTGAGATATTGGAACACTGCTATCATGTCCCCCCTCGTCCTTCTCTTTGTTAAACTAGACATACCCAATTCCAGCAACCGTTCCTTATNAAAGTGGTATTAATACTTCACGTGATCTTGATTCTATCCCTCTGTTAATGCAGCCTAGCACTGTGTTGGCTTTTTTGGCAGCTGCAGCACACTGCTGGCTCATATTTAAATGATTGTCCACTAGGACTCCGAGGTCCCTCTCACAATTACTACTATTGAGCAAGGTACCCCCTATACTATACCTGTACATTTGGTTTTTCTTGCCTAAATGTAGAAACTTACTTTTTTCCCCCTTGATAAATGGGATATTCCAAGGCTGCAAATTTAATCAATGAAAACAAAATGGTACCCAAGAATAAATATTGTTCAGGGGTATTTTATGTTCTTATTGCATGGCAGAATGTGATAATTAAGCTGCTGAAATTAAGAACAATTTTGATAGTGGTTAGCACTAAAAGAACAGCTGCAACCCAACAAAACTTCTTTTGTACATCAAGAATATCAGGTCAAGAATTGTGGTTCTGAAATTTAATGTTGTTTAATTCTGATCTCTGATATTTTTAAATGGAGTGGTTGCAAAATAAAGCTGCATTAAGAAACAGGAGGCAAAGTGACTTTGAATGCCCCTCTGGATTGTGACTGTTCATCACATCTGAGAACGAGAAAGAACTGGTCTTTCTCCCCAGTGTGAAATTAAAATCAATCATTTTAATTCTCAGGTACCTCTGGCTACGTTTGAACAGCTTTTAATGATCTTTGCAAATTAGCAGCCTATGCTCTTATTGATTTAATTCCCAGATCCATAAGCAAATCATCAAACAATTATTGTTTTGCTGCTTCACTGATATTTCTCATAATAACTTATACAACCCTTCATTGTTATATGTCTACTCCAGTTTGGCTTCAAGACAGTTGAACAGTCTTTCTGGGCTCCAAATCAGTTATGCCAGTGGTCTCAATGGAAGGACACCCACTGTGTCGTAAAACTAATTGAAATATAAAATTAAAGAAAGGAAGTTGGAAGAGACCTTGGAGGTCATCTAGTCCAACCCCCTGCTCAGGCAGGAAACCCTATACCATTTCAGACAAATGGCTGTCCAGTCTCTTCTTAAAAGCTTCCAGTGTGAATGCTCCAACACTGGAAGTTTTTAAGAAGAGACTGGGCAGCCATTTGTCTGAAATGGTATAGGGTTTCCTGCCTGAGCAGGGGGTTGGACTAGATGACCTCCAAGGTCCCGTCCAACTTTATTATTATTATTATTATTAAGACACACCAAAGAAAAGGCCGTCCTGGAAAATCACAACAGCCTACTTCAATATTACTAATTCATTAACTGGCAGGGCCTTTTCAAGGCTTTAACCAGGAGATGTTTCACATTTAATCTGGCCTTGCAAAGGATCAAATTGATTGCAGGCAGATTCTGTGTTCAATTTGCCTATTTGAATCTTCCTTCTTCAGTTGTTGGCTGACATGATGTGGCCAGAAAATGCACAAACAATACTGATAATGGGATCCTTGGTGTTCTCTGAGCTTTGTTGTTTTCTTGCAGATGTTTCATTCACTATTAAATAATGTACCTAACCCTGAGTTACAAATATTCTCTTCTATTAGTACTAATAATCCCTGGAGAATGACTCTTCTTCTAACTCTCATATAGAAAACGACAGGAGGTGCAAACATCTGGCAAGAAATCCAAAGCGCGTGTTGCTTTGTGAAATGTAACATCAAAAACAGAGCAAGAAAAATCCAGACAAATACATGGTATCTCTTCCTTAATTTTACCACTGGAATCACGTGGATGCTTTGTATGGAAATCTTTATTTGATAATAAAAATAGCATTCAGAGATTCTTTCCTTCGTTGTAGCTACATCATATACATTGTATTTTGTCCCAAGGAAAGAGTCTTATATTGAATAAAGTCCACATCTACTTAGACTATCGTCATGTATAAACCCAATCTTTCAAATAAAGCTATGAACAATGCCGTATTTATATATGCATAGGGTTTTATAAAAAAGATTGGCCCACGTATGTTTCTTGTCAACACAGAAAAAAACAGCACTATAACTAGACCACATGGCAAGAAATGATAACTGAAGAACAGAAACCGCATCCCGAGGCCTCCAGGAGGCATTTTCCACCCCACCAGAGGACATGATATATCCCGATCAACAAAAGCTTCCAAGTTACTTATACTGTCTTCTGTTAAAACAGCTTTACATACCTGATTCAGTTTACATTAAAATATATTCCCGTGAATCAATTTGTTCCATTTTTTTCCTCAGAATTATAAACATGTAGCACATTCCTCACAGCTAAATTCTGTCATAAAGTCTCTTTTATACAAGCAAAAAGGCAACTGTTTCTTTTTGTTTGTTTTCAACAGGCTCTGTTAATTACAATTTAAAGTCTGTACACACAATGACAAGCCATCTTTGTCTTTCCTTTTTCTTTACAGTACCAGGGCAATAACAGTGATAGACTTGTAATCTTATTTTCTTTTATGTATATGTGTCTGTGCATGGGCACATGAACAAAAAAACACAGTGAAACAGTATTACACATACACCTCAATGCACTGTAAAATAAAAAGCAGCAGTTTAAAATTTTTAGTGGTCCAACAGTAACGGCATTTTTTATTTTTTTTGGCTCAGCTAGGCAGTATCCATTAGTTCTGCTATTGGTACTACAGTATACTTACCGCACAAACTTGTTGCATGAAAATACCCAACAGAAAAGAATCTTGAATAGGTCAGTTCCCCTCGTGACAGTCTGACGTAGAGCTCAAACCACAACTTTCTCTCAAGAATGCCACACCAAATTTTTAACTTATTGTTTGACAATTTTGCAAATGTATTTCCTTTTGTCTCAAGTAAGGGTGCACCAGAAAGTGGAAAGGGAAAAAAGGTAAAATAATAATAATAATTAAAAAAAAAAAACAGAAGCCCAGAGAAACAGTTCCATTTGGTGACAAGAGTACTTAAATGCTTAGACTGACCTGAAAGCATTTAAACTCGGCCTATGAAAGAAGTATTTGTTCCTCAAAATGCTTCTTGAATAAGGAATCAAATTCACGTCAATTTCCCTTTCAAGGCAAACAAGTGATACTATTCAGGCTCCAATTTCATCTGAATGGTTCTACTGGTTGAACAAGAACAACAGTGGTGCTGCCTTTGTGAAATTTCATTAATGGTCACAATTATGAACAAAACATGATGGTTTATCCTGCACATGATACAATGCATGATGACTACCGATCCTTGGCCACGTTACTTCCTTTTAAAGGAGACCCAAAGTACTTATTGTTCAATGGAACACACCATACATTTCTTAACAACGTGTGCTGTGTAGATCTGCATAAATATCCTTCATCCCAGCAGTAGTCTCTTCAAATAGTTCTCTTAGTTTGAGAACTATGTTGGTTATTTGTAAAGGAAAAAAAAATCCCTCCGCAGTAGTTCAAAGTTTTACTGATCAACCCTCCCCTCTTCCTCCAACCCATTCTTTAGAAAATCATAAATTCATGATTGCAATAAAATAATCAGCAAAACAGTGTGGTTGATCCTAAATGTTTAACTACTGTTGGCTTCCCACCATAAAACTAAGAAAGGGACAACTAAGTCACAGAAAAGTACAATGCATCTAATGCTCACAGCGATGTGTTAAGAAGGAACACAATTTTCATCACCCTTTTGGGACGAACATTTGGCAAATATGATTTGAAATGCATATACTTTAATGCTGCCCACACCATGTGCAAAACATGTGAATAGGTTGTGGATGATTAGACTTTATTTTTTGTGGTGGCTGCGAGAAGCTCATTTGAGGCTTGCTACCTTCCTTCCTAAGAACTCTGAATGCTGGAAAGGCCGCAAAAGTATTGTTAAGGCTACAAAAGCCACTAGATACTGAGGTCAGTGCTGCACTCTTTATAAGGTCGCCGTTTTTGTTCTGTTGGGTGCCTGTTACTTTTAATTGTGTCGTATCTCAGCGTGCCTTCTTCCTTCTCCCGAAAACTGACTCTGCCATCTCTATTTCGTTTATCGGGAGACCTCTCTCTTCTTCGTTCTGGGGTCCTCTCTCTCCTCCTCTCCGTTGACTTAGCCCTCCTTTCAGGAGGTGAGCTCTCCTTCTTCTTGTCTGGTGATCTCCTCTGATCCATAAGTCTTTCGAGCGACCGTCTTCTTCTGCTGGGTGAGTTATCCCGTCGGTGAGTCGGTGATCGTTCTCTTCGTTTTTCTGGAGAAAAGTCTCTTCTCCTCTCATACCTGTCCCTTCTCTCCAGAGTGTTTTCGGCACTCCTTGTACCTTCTCTCCTCTTTTCAGGAGTTCTTCGTTTTTGTCCATTGATGGCCATTCTCTCTGGTTGACGCTCGTGCCTTTTTTCCGGTGATCTGTCCTTTTTTCGGACTGGGATGCTATTGCTGTTTTTAGAAGTTCCATTCCATGTGTGATGCTCATTGGATTGTCTGCCAAACTCTCTGCTACTTTTGGGTTCCTTGAAACATATCCGCTTCTCTCCATGTTGGGGTGATTTGTGAAGATCTGGTGGATAACTGGGCTCCAATGGTAAGTGTTGTTGTCTGTCGTACTGCATATTTTTCACTTCCGATACTTTTTGTGAACCTGTGGCTGGGCTGCTCCTGTTGCTGCTGGGGTCTGAAAAAAAGATAACAACACAAGGTTTGGCAACGGTGGCCTGATTTTAGAGTTGGATACCAGTCATTATTCTGAACACTTCATTAGTAACAAAAAACAACAACAAGCAATTGTTAAGCAGTCAAAAAGATGCTTCCTGAAGCTTTTGTTAATTTTAGCAAAACAACAAAGGATGAGTGCTCTACATTAGTATGGATGCTTCTCATGGCAACGTCAATCTCTAGTTAAATTCTGGCCTCTACAGCATTAGGAATGGGAGAATTAACTTTTTCCCAGGTCCAAATCGGAATATGTTAGCCTAGCATAAAGCCTTTGTGGTGAACGCCTTCATAGCTTCCTTTTCATTTCCTGATATAAGCTAGCCATTCAAATAATTTTAAAATGTTTTAATTATTTTTTTAAAAGAAAACTATATCTGGAAGCTGTATTGTAACTTGTGAAAGCTTTGAAGACAGATGTATTTTTAATTATTTCAGTACTGATTCTCAGAACTCTGGAATGAGATTCCCCAGTGCTCTGGACAGCTGCCACTCTGATGATGTTCAGGAATTGCTAACTATTCTTCCAGCGTCTGGGACAGAGGTTGAGCCCCTGCTGGATACTTTTGGGGGGGAATTGGGGGTGGTGGTGGTTATAAGTTGCTTTGGTATCGTTTTTTTTTTATTTTTGTACTTTATACTTTCAATTGTAAGCCACCCAGAATCAGGAGACCTATAGATTGTCAGTAAACACACAACTTAGCCCCTCTTTATATATAACACGTGCAAGCATTGAGGACAATTTTGGTTTGCCACAATGATTGAACTTAAACACACACAATGAGAGCAGCGGGATATGGAAAGACATGATCCGATCTTATCAATGCAACAGAGTCTGTTTAGATCTGCAGAAATATCGGGTAAAATAATTACATTTATCCTGTTGCAGTAAACACAGATGCTGTAAGCAGAAACAGCAAATCATTTTGCTAGAGCAATCATAGTTGATTATGAATTGCTTTAAAAATGGCAATTCAATTGCTTTGAGGTTGGTACTGTAATTGTTTATTGCTTTGGAAAAAAACAGATATCTTGTGTGATACTGCTTCCTGGATTCTAAGCCAAATAATTACCATGTGCCCAATAACATGTTTGAGAACAACAAGTCACAAAATTCCTTGGAATCCTAAATTCCTCTGTCTTTTCTCCTGAATATGAAATAAAATTTCCTATACAAGCTCTCTTTTGAACAGGCGTGGTTAGCTTAGGTTTTCTGCAGGCTTTTGACGATTTCTGAGAGGAAACCATGGATCGCTTACACCATAAGACTTCAGAAATGGAGAACCACTGTTTCATCTTCAAATGAGGCCAAGTCAACTTGGCATCTTGTGGTCTGTTGCAGAAGACCACGGGTACGGGGTACTTACAATTCATGGAACTGCAGGATGCTCAGAATGAATTGCCGAATATGCAGAGGTTTAGCAAAGTGGAAAGCAAGGTGAGAGAATTAGGCCACAGCACAGAAACACCTAGTATTGATTTTAGCTACAAACCGTAGTTTGATTATGGCCCATAAGGTAGAAGCAAGATTCCCCGAGCTTGTCATTTCTCATACATGCAGCGAGATTAGGAGGTATCATCGCTGAGGAAGGAAGAGCCCCGGCATCAAGAAAAGTAGGAGAAAGAGAAAGAAAAAAAGTAGAATGTTTAGATTCCCTATAATAAAGAGGTAAGGGGGGGGAAAAAAATCTTCATTTGTTTTAAAAAATATTAGAATAAAGAAAAGTTTATTTTTTTTTCCCAATCAGGATTGTCTAGGCATCACCCAAATATAAGGCTGCGGAAACAGCGATTGTTAAAGCGAGACAGTGTCCTTAAACATTGAAAAAAAAAGGTGACTAAACCACCCAGACAACGAAAATATCAGTTTGGAGAGGGAGAGTGCAAAGGAGAGAAGAGAGACATAATTGGGACAGTGAAACAGAATGTCAGAGATAAAACAATTAACAATCAACAACGACCAAAATAAAACCCACTACAGAACTATGACATTGAAGAGAAGTACAAAACTCATTACAAAAATATACAGCCTCCTCAGAGAAGCGTGTTCCAATTGAGTCAGAAAAAAATACTGGAACCTCATTCTTTTTTTTTTCTTTTTTTTGGAAGCAATTTGTTAGTGATTGCAACGGACAGGATTGAAGCAATTCAGCCCCCAAATGTTACAGGCACAGGACAGCAACTGTGCAGGCCCCTGGCTTGAAAATGGAATTTGTTAGGGGATTTCAAAAGCGACTGGCAGTCCAGACTGAAAAAGAAAGAGAACAAGCTAACAAAGAGACAAAAAAAAAGAAGTTACCCTAACCCCAAACCCTGGTGTTCAATTTTTCATCCTCGGGGCAACAGACATTCTGGAAGATGTGAAACACTTTTTGGATAGGCTATATTTGCAATGTTTAGCATATGGTACAATACTTTACAGCCAAAAGAGCATAGGAAAAAGACAGAACATAAAGAACATTACACAGTTTTAGTCCTGCGGAAACATGGCCAATTAAGTGTACAACAGAAGTGCAAACACAGGAATTTTAATCATGACATGGATTAAAATGGTAGAGTGAGTTGGCTAAACTACTAATCACCTGGCTGTGTGAAGTTTTCAGGATGTTCTTAAATAATAAAAAAAAGGACAAGTCTGTGTGCGGCATACTAATTGAATTCTTTTAAGAAACTGGCATTGGAGGCCATGCCAGAAAAACTTTAAGGGCAATGTTCTCAATCCCAAAGCATGCCAAATAATTTCGCCCTAAATCAGGGGTGGGGAACTATGGCCCTTTTATGACTTGTGGACTTCAACTCCCAGAATTTCTGAATTAGCCATGCTGGCTCAGTAATTGTGGGAGTTGAAGTCTACAAATCATAAAAGGGCCATGGTTCTCCCCCCCTCTGCCCTAAATGACTGCATAAGTTTTTTTTCAATTCTTATAGTACCTGTGAGGTCACTCTTGCTGACACCTTATATATAATCTCCCTTTTTTTAAAAAAAACAAAACACTTATTATAATGAATATAAGCCACTTTTTTCAGATTATGTGGCTTTACAAGGAATATAATTGGGCCTATATCAACAAGAAAAGTCCATCTTTCTCAAGACAAACTGAATTGGTATATAGATATTCACCGATTCATTTATAAGACCAGTTCAACCTGGTGCTAATATAATGGAGTGAAAAAATAAAGAATTTTTTTTTCTTTTTGGTAATTTGTGGGGATACAATTATAACCTTTGAAAGATCCCACCCACATGTTGTTTGCCACTTCTCCCATCTCTGGAGAACAAAAATAGAAAAGTACAATAGTTGGGACTTTGATACTGTTCCACACTAGGAATAAAAAGAAATATAATTTATTGGTATATTATCCCAAATATGGGGAAACATAAAGGACACCTGTTCATTTGTGTGCTTATAACTCATAACTGGTTGGAAACCAATTATATTTGGGAAAAGCCCTACATCTAGGGCATATATCTGAAATAACTATCTCAAATAAATAGGACATCATAATATTATATACAGTACTAAGCCACCCAAAACCAATACTACAGAACTTAAATACAAGTGGGATTTTTTTAATGCAGATATATCCCTCGGCAACCAAATAAAACAACATCTCTTCTCTTATAATAAACATTGAGAATGGCAATATTAATTTGTTCATAGCTGACACAGTTGTGAACAAACAGTCTAAAGGAAAGGGGCGGGAGGGGAATCCAAGTGAATATATTCTTGTATTGCATATGGTTTTAAAAATAAATTTATAAATATTTACATAAATGTACGGGGACAGTAAAAGCCCAGACACCATCGTGGAATTCATGCCTATGGTTACAGACAAAAGCCAAGGACAACAGTTTCCGAAGGATAACACAAATTTCCCAACTCTGCATTGATCAGAAGATGAGAGAACAATTCATCCGCTGAGAAACAGTTTGGCACAGTTCAATAAACATTCCTTGTTTGGTCGGACAGGATAGTACAGTTTTGGTTTGTCTATATGTTTTTGCCCCCTTGTATCACCAAAATACTGCTCTGAAGATGGTCTTGCCTGTACACTGTGCCCCCACAAAAGTCCATAGTAGCAAGCAAAGGATGAAAAAGTGTAGAGAAAATTCAGCACAAGCGAGGCAATTAACCACGGTTGTCAAGGTTGGTAAGACATTGGTGGAAAAAGAGAAAAAAGAAAGAAAAGGAAAAAGAAGAATCCCCGCTTCAGATCTTGGAGATAGATCATTCATGGTGTGATGCCCGGAGCAAGATAAGGAATGTTTTCATAGTTTGACCCACCATATTCCGGTACAGAGCCATCTCCACGTTTGAGAAACAGGCGAACTTTGCGACCACCATTTTTAATTAGTTCTATGGCTCGAGCGTGCTTCATGTTCTTTGTGGTTTCTCCATTAATCTCCAGGATTTCATCCCCAATCTGTGAAAATAAAATACTCTATGATTAAAGTACAATGCTGGCAGGGAAAACATCACATAGAAGAGTTCGAATGAGCTGGCTGCCAAAGTGCAAAATTGAACATGAGTCAGCGTTAACATTTTGAGGTGGGAATATTATTTGGGGGTATTCACATACGGCACATGGCATGCAAAGACTGAGCCTGGTGGTCTTTGGTCCAGAAAATGTTGCACATTTAAGTCTGAAGGTCCTAAGGACTTCTTGGTAAAATTCTACAGGCGGAATTATTGTTTAAAAATGTAGCAGTTTTAAAACAAACAAACAAAACATCCTTACGTGAAACACCGTGTCCAAATGCAGAGCAACTTAGAGAATGGCATCTAATGAAATGAAAAATCCACATTGAATAGAAGAAAATCAATAATCTAAGCACGCACTTATGTGGGCTAAAAGGCTTTTTCACTTTCAGACACAACAAAAAAATAATAATAATTTGCTGATGACTTTTGACTAATGGCTTGAATAAGGTCATCTATATTCTGCAACCAAACGGAAGAAAAAGGAGGGAACTGAGTAGAAAGGATGGCTGCAAATAAGGCAAAGGAGAAATGGTAGCTCATGTGGACTAGTAACATACCCTCATTTTTCCACATCTCTCAGCGGGGCCATCTTCTGCTAACCGCAAGACATAGAGATCCATGTTATACTCTCGGCCACCTCGCAGACTGAAGCCAAACCCTTTAGCTCCTCTTTCAAGTTCCACAGTGTAAAAATCTTGTTCTGGCTAGAAGAAAGTAATAAAATACAATTTGCAACCTTAACCATCAAGAAGATTTAAATCACTTACATGCAAAGACAGAAGAGCATTGGTCCAAATGATCAGGCCAGTACATCACATTAAAATGAACACAGAACATAAAAAATTGAAAATGCCCTAATTTTCAAACCACTACCTTTAATCTATTCCTTGAAAATTAAATTTAGTTCTTATATCAAAAGCAAGATAGCTCTATTTTTAAAGAAGGAATTCTTATTGCATTGTTCGCCTTGGCATTCTCCAAAAGGTCATTAATTAAGTCAGCTGTCCCCAACCTTTGCAGTTTGGCGGCCCCACTGGGGAGGGGGGTAGAGGGGAACCAGGCTGTGTGAGTGACGGACTGGCGTGCCTGGCCTGGTTCCGAATAGGACAGGCCCGGTGACTGGGCTTCCACCCAGGGGTTGGGGACCCCTGAATTAAGTTGTTCAAATCTGTGTTAAGACCACTTAGAAGTGCTAAAGCAGCTGTTTCTTTCCAAAATTTTGGTACAATTGTTTGGAAGGTATCCTGGTTGAGTAATTGGTATGCCTGCGTGTACACAAACTACATCAGTGCTACCATTGTCAGCAAAGCATATTTGCTCTGTATTTTTATTGTATTTATTTGACTGATTAATTTAAATGGAGCACAATTTGGAGCACAATTTTTGGGCGGTCGTAACAGCACATACATACACGCAGAGACAAATTGAGAAAGCACTCAATGAATTTTCTGTGGGACAGAACTGCCCTCTCTGTCCTTGGGAGACAGAAGGAAGAACCACAGCCTAGACCAGTGGTTCCCAACCTTTTCTATACCCCGCCCCCCTAGAACGCTTCTGATATATTCTCGCACCCCTTACAAAAGTTCAAAATAACGGCAACGAATTATGCATATACACTATAATTTTGAAAACTCAAGTTTTCGCACCCCCTAAAATATCGTCTCGCACCCCTGGTTGGGAACCCCTGGCCTAGACAATGCTCTGATCAATGAAACCTGAGTCGAAAGGATGGGATGGAAAAAGTACCTCAGAAATGATGTTCCCTTATTCTCTGGAAAATAAAGGCAGAGAAGGGGGGTGTACTTTATAACATATAATAAAGGCTAAGGTGGTCCTAGTGGTGTAAGAACACTGGAGCACTGGAGGCCATGACTCCTAAGCTGGGAGAGGGGCTCCAAGTGATCCCAGGAACAACATCAGAGCTCTCTGTTTAGAAGAGTGAAGTGCTAGGAATAGCTAAGATATCGTGCAGAAGCCTCAAACTCCTAGGCCTCCGGTAGAGGACCTGAGTTTGGGGAAGACACACACTACTCATAAGGCTGAGAAGGGAACTTTTTTTTTAATTGAGAGCCACTTTGGTGGAGTGGTTAAGGAATCAGGCTAGAAACCAGAGACTACGAATTCTAGTCCTGCCTTAGGCACAAAGACAGCTGGGTGACCTTGGACTAGTTATGATGACCCAAAGCACAGCACCGACGCAATGCAGTCAGCTAGCAATTCAAACTGCCCTTTAATTGCTCCAAATTTTCCCCAAATGCTCCCACGTTTCTGGCAAGCCTCCAGACACAGGAAGACACACACACACCTTCAGCCGCCTCTGGCTGCAAGTAGTTTTACATACAGTCTGATTAGGAGAGGATTTTATTCAAGACCATGGAGATAACAAGGAAATTACACATACATCATAAATCTAACGAGTCTGTGTGAATACCCGCTTGCCTGCACAGTTTCAAAAGGGAAGCCAAAATACAGTCCGAGATCTTTAAACATCCAAGCAATGTTGTCAGCTAGTCCAATGGTCAGTTTCAGGGTTTCCAAGCAGAAGTCACAGAACAAGAGATCAGCAACAACACACACAAAACTCTAAGGAATCAGCATTTGTTCCTGACAAATGCCTCTCCCCACAGCGTCTTCTTAAATCTCGGTCTTCAGGTATGCCTTGTGGAGAGGGACGGGACGTTCTCCTCCCGAGTAGTTGAGCCTGCCTGCGTTGTTCCCTCCTTCTCTCCACTCTCCGTGCTCTAGGATCAGGTGGGGGTGGCCCTTGCTCATTGCCTGAACTCTGTCTCTCCTGTTCCTCTTGTCCCACTCCTGAAGGGCCCTGGACTGCTTCGGCCTGCTCTTCCCCACATTCCTCTGAAACCACAGATACCTCTCCCTCAACCTCCATAGGGTCCCGTTCCACCTCATTTTCCTCCACAAATTCAGGCTCCCATGGAGGCATGACGCTAGTCCCTTTCTCTCAGCCCTAGGAAAGAGGAAATGGCAAACCACTTCTGAAAAATCTTGCCAACAGAACTTCAGGGCCTTTCCAAGTAGTGTCTGAGAATCAGACACAACTACACTTAAAAAAAAAAGAATTAAAGGTTTTTTAAAAGGAAGATAAAACCTAATAAAACCAATATAAGGTAAAAAGAAAAAGAAAGAAATCAAAGAGAAACTGAATGTACCAAAAAAAGTAAAAGAAAAATAGAAGAGAGAAAAAAAGATGCAATGAAGTAATTTCCAATCTTCTTTACAGCAATCTTAATTATAAATTTACCTTCTACTCTATGGTTACAACATAACTCTTTCTATTATCTATACTGTATAATCATCAAAACCATAAATTATAAGTTCATTTTTTTCTGTTTCACACATATAATTTATAAGGTTGTTTCTACTCAGCAATCATTGTAAATATTTTCTTTTCTCTGATCAAAAAAGTCAACTTAGCCACTTTGTCAAGTTCCATCATCTTCACCCACCATTCCTCTATTGCATTCCTCCAGGTAGGCCTGAATCTTGTGCAAACGACAATATTGCTACAGTTATCATATGCAAAATTCCATAACTTTTTCCCCACTGTTTATCCAACAATCCCAAAAGAAAATCCTCTGGTGCTAATTGAATGCTAATCTTTAAAATCTTGTGAACCAGTGTATGCATTGGAATCCAGATTCTGTTATTGTAACATTACAATAAAGGTAGGGTTAGAACTCATGGTTTTGGTTTCTTAACTGGACTACCTCAAATGACTGACATCATGGTTCCGATAGATGAAACTCTTCAAAATAATTTCGAGGCATTGTTTACCTTAAAGAATCTTTATTTTGAGTAGCATGACATCGGCAGTGCATAATCAAAGCCAAAAACTGAATTCCCCTCCCCTGAGCACATAGTATCAAAGCACAATTCCCCCCTTCAATTAACAGTCATAAATCACATTCCCCAATTAGCTTGAAGCGCGGGCCTCCTCTCCAGTTCTCCAGTCTGTCAATTCCTTATCAGCTCTGGTTATAATAACCTTGTTTCTCATGCTAGGTCTAGTGTTTTTATGTCTAGCTGGACTCTCATTCACATTCCCCCTCCCATCTAACTCTAAGAGCAAAAGGTAAAAGATGGCTACATTTCCCTTTATTGTCAATGCAAAAACATCCGATGTTAGCAGCATTGACATCAACCTTGCAACCTATCATTTATGTCTATCATTTATGGTCCTAGTTTCTGTGGCCATGGAGGACAGTTCTTGACCATTATCCCTGCAGTTTCTCCTTATGTACCTGTCCATGGCTATTATGTCTCCCTTCACTCTTCTTTCCTCCAGACTGATTATCCCAAGTTTCTTCAACCCTTCCTTCCTATGAAATACCTCCAGGTCCTTGTTGTCATCCTATGAATTCCCTCTATGCTTGTGGGAATGCAGTGCCCAGAATCACACACATTACTCCAGGTGTAGCCACACTAGGTGTAGCCGGTACAGAGGAATAACATCTTTGTATGTTGTTCTTCTAATGCAGTGTTTCTCAACCTTGACAATTTTAAGGCATGTGGACTTCAACTCCCAGAATTCCACAGCCAGCATTGCTGGCTGTGGAATTCTGGGAGTTGAAGTCCACATGCCTTAAAATTGTCAAGGTTGAGAAACACTGTTCTAATGCAGCTCAGACCATAGCCATGCTCTTCTCAGATGTGTTTAAGAAGACTCTCTTGCAGGAGTCTCAGTTTTTCTCCCCACAAACTTTCTCCTGTTCTGCAATCATTCTGATCAATTATGAAGAAAAATAAATATGTTCTGTACATATTCCCTGCAGCAAATTTGCTCTGAATAGGAAAACTACTAGTTCTACGAAAATTGCTAGTAGGAAAGCAAAGTAACAAGTTTGGATAGGTAGAAAGCCATTCAGGATATATACACTGTCCTGTGTTTTTATTTCATTAATTTACAGTTTAAAATATAATTTCCTAGTAGATCTAAATATATTCAACAAGTGTACTATATTTCTGCAGACATATTATGGGTAACATAGTCCAAAGATATTGTGCTATGTACAATACTGTATCCTCCTTTCATTTTGATGCATTGCCGCCTGTTACAAATATCTTTTGGGAAGGAACTATATTAGTATGTATTAAATTAGTCACTAGGATATGAATAGATGAAAAAATATTGTAAAATACATACAGTTCATACAGAGAGAGGACAAATATTGTACATTTGCAAGCTGCAACCAATAAACTAAAACTGTGAGCAGCAAATAACCTTACCTGGGAGGCTGTTGGTGCTTTGAAATCAAATTGGGATTCCTGTTTTGTCTTTGCATTGTTTCTGTTCAAATTAATAATGGAAAGAAGGAGAGAAAAAAAGATCAGATTTATAAGAGTGAAGATACATGGAAAGTATTGAATGAACATGACAGCACAGCCACACTAAAGGGGGGGGTTGTCATTAAACTAACCTGTTCTCCTGTGGCATTTGTTGAGGAGTATGTGTAGTTGTAATTGTAGCAATTTTTTCTGCATTGGTCAATAATGTTGCATTGGAAGATTCTGCAAAATAAAGCAATGCTTTTAGTGCATCAGATTATTCCTGTAATTAGGATGTGCGTACAGCTTCTTGTTGGCTGAGGTAACCCTTTTGAAGTTATCAAATACATTTTTCAACACTATTCATGAGGGATTTGTACTAGCTCAGATTTCGGAAATCCAATAACAGAAAACATACTACTGTATAGAAGTATTTATTTAACAACACACTGGTAAACCCACTGCCTACAAATCTTTACTATGAAGGAATGGAGCAAAAAAAAAAAAACACCTCAATGCAATTATGAAAATCATAAGAACAATTTCTGTTCTCTCACAGTAGCTGTGAACAATGGCGTGGAATATCAAATCAAAGCTACAGACTGTGTAGCTGTTTAACTTTCCTACTTTAATGTTACCCAATTGTTTAAAAACCCTCTTATTTTCATCAAATGATTTCAATACAGATTAATATCCTTTTGCTTCCCAAGATTCTAACACAATTTCCCAGGTTTTTTTTCCTTTATTTCCCATGACCTTGGATTCATTTGCCAACACAATCATTAGTCCAAGAGTGTACAGTGACCTATAATGTTTTTCAGTTGCCCTTGTCATGATAATCACATCAGATGTTGTATTGATTTTGATACAATCGCATAGGTCACAGTGACCAATCTGATTAAATCAAAGAAGGGGCAATGAAGGTATAGAAATAAATAAGCAGAAATTTCAGTATTAGCCTGTGCGATTCCTAAACCAAAAGATTTGTTTATTATTTGTTTATTATCAAGTCTTTTAGTAATCCAACACAACAGGCTGACGCTTCCAATATCACAAACACAATGCTTTCCAATGAGTCTATTCAAAATCCAATTGCTCATTATTAATTGGGTGAATAATAAGTGCCAAATAAATAATTAAATAAGTGAATTATTGTTAGCCAATCCTATTCACAAGCTTTTCAATGCCCATTCCATATTGAGTGTTAAGATAAAATCTGTTTAGGAGATTCAGTGAAGAGACCTTTGACAAGTACCATACTGAGTCTCTAACTCAATGGTAAGCAAAGTGGTATCCTTCAAATAAGTTAAAAACTCCTATAATTTCTTGTCATTACTAATTCTGGGTATAAACTGAAGGAAATTGGTCCAAAACACCAGAAGAGCAGTAGAGTAACTATTCCTGTCCTAATCTGATTCAATTGCATAATTGCTGATTCAATTGTACAGTTCAATTAGAAACTACACATACATAATTTAGGCAAAGTGCTTCTTGACTCCTACCTACAATTTAACCTGACATTTAAACCACAAAGATGTTCTATGATAAAACTACCCAATATCTGCCATCAATGCATTATAGAAAATACTGTATGAACTACATACAGGAATTGTAGGAAAATGTGAACTTTAGCTTGTATCCGAAATTAAATTATCTTAAGAATGTTTGCTTGTCATCTTTTCTTTCCACAAGTGAATATTTGTCAGCCTTAAATTTCTCTCAAATAAATTGTACCCTGAAAAAAACTTTCTGAAGAGTTGAGGGCTTCGTGAAAACAGAACTGTAGTTTTAAAATATATAAAACAAATAGGATAAACGTTTTAAAGCTGTTCCACACAGAATAATAAGGTAGACATGTTTACAATGTTTTACAAAGTTGTAAATGGAATGTAAATTGCTATATCTGGTCTTTCACACTTGTACAGAAATATTTTAAGGCTTTCCTAAACAAACAAACAAATACATACAGACAAGTAGATTCATATCTGAATAACCTACACAATGATAAATTTACAAACTGTTAAACAGCTTGGTTCTCCTGAGATTCTATTATGCACTGTTCACAACCCATCTGGATATGTTAAATACTCAGAATGACCAATCACGATTAGCTTTTGGCCATGGTATCTGGAGATTTCAAGAGTGGAGAAGACTTTTCTAGTGCAATCTTTCAATTCCATCAAGAATAAACTCTTTCTAATATCATTATTCAGATATTAAGCTGAGTAGTAAAGACATCAAATTGCTCAAGAGACTGAAATACATAGGAGACTTCCGGTGGCAGGCGATTTCGTCGGTCGCAGCTGTTTGCTGCCTCCCGCCTGTTTTGCGTAAAAGCCGGTTTGACAGCCAGCACCAGCTGTCAAACGGCTTGATACCTTTCCCCTGGGCATAAGGGGATAGGTGAGCTGCCCGGGGTAGGAGTTGAGTTCCCGAGTCGTCCTATATGGACGATGTAGGTGAG